ACATACATTGTGGACCTTAGAAAAATGTATAAGAATAACATACTAGTGAAGAGTTAAAATATAAACAATGAAATCCTGTAAAGTATTTAAACAATATAAAACTGGAGAATAATTAACCAATATGCAGCTATGGACATTTTTATAGTAATGGATGTTTGAAACTATCAGCAGCATCAGAGATGTGCAGAATGACAGCAGCAGGTTATTTAACTGACTAAGGTAGAAATCAGCCTGAATGGAAGAACTGGTTGAGGTTACTGGGAACAGTGGTGGTTCTAGAGCCTTCCAGCTGCTGGGAGGAAGGATCTGTGATAACGCGCCCTGGTGCATTTAGGGTGCAGCAGTCTGTCACTGAAGGAGCTGTCCAGTTCAGCACCAGCTGAACCAGAAGAGATGTTCATTTATTTAGGATCCGTCTGTTTTCCACCTCCTGCACTGAGTCCAGAGGGCATCCAATCAGAGCTGGCCTTCCTGATCAGCTGATCCAGCCACTTCCTCTCAGCTACAGATCAGCCGCTGCTCCAACAGACAGCTCCATAGAAGATGGCTGATGCCACAGCAGAGTCAGAGAAGGTCTTTAGGACCCCCCCCTGCTCTGACCTTTCTGATCCAGGAGAAGCTCTTCCTGCATTTACTTTGTTGAAGGTGCAAACTACAGCATCATGATGCTTTCCTTTGTTTTGTTGGAGAAATACTCAGTGACCTCTGATCCAACCATAAATCAGTCTCTGCATGTTTCTGGATGAGCTGCTGTCAGATCAACAGAGGAAGGAGGCAGAATGATTCAGCACTTTTTCTCTGAAGCTAAATCCTGGCTTACATGCAGCTTTTCCAAAGCCCCCAGATCTCTGCTGCATCACTGTAAAACGTCTCTGTGATGCTTATTTTTACCGCATTCCTGCTGCTTTGACCAGAGAGCCGGTCCCCCAGAGGAGAACCTTCATCCTCCTCAGCAGAATCCTCTGATATTCAGCCTCTCTGTGCTGCAGCCTGTCAGTAGCTCTGCTACAGACCGTCACAGAGCAGAGGAAAGGACGCAGTCCTGACGCTGCAGCCCTGATGGGACGCCAGGCGGACCTCATCGACCTGCAGCAACCTGCAGGGACCTGCAGCGACCTGCAGGGACCTGCATCTACCTGCAGGGAGCTGCATTGACCTGCAGGGACCTGCATCGACCTGCATAAACCTGCAGGGAGCTGCATCTACCTGCAGGGCCCTGCAGGGACCTGCATCGACCTGCAGGGACCTGCATCTACCTGCAGGGACCTGCATCTACCTGCAGGGAGCTGCATTGACCTGCAGGGACCTGCATCTACCTGCAGGGAGCTGCATTGACCTGCAGGGACCTGCAGGGACCTGCATCGACCTGCAGGGACCTGCATCTACCTGCAGGGACCTGCATCTACTTGCAGCGACCTGCAGGGACCTGCATCTACCTGCAGGGACATGCATCTACCTGCAGTGACCTGCAGCGACCTGCAGGGACCTGCATCTACCTGCAGTGACCTGCAGGGACCTGCATCGACCTGCAGGGACCTGCATCTACTTGCAGCGACCTGCAGGGACCTGCATCTACCTGCAGGGACCTGCATCTACTTGCAGCGACCTGCAGGGACC